CCCGCCGTCGTCTTCAGGGACTGCGGCGGATCCTGTAACGGCTCCAGATCGGCGATCGTTACGTAGTATGGCTACAAGCGCCCGATCAATCGATTCTGCCTTCGCCCTTCTGCTTCTGGCTCAGATCCGAATCGTGAATCTGAGAGAGAGAGAGAGAGACGTTATGGGTTATGTTAACGGTGAGGGAGTTGGGAAAGCTACTACTAAAAATGTAAAATTGAGTGTTATTTCTCTTTCAAGTTACCGTCTTCCGCAATTTACTCTGAACAATCGAGGAAATAAACCGGTAAACCCAACCAAATTGAAGAAAACCGAGCAATAATCCTAAACCGGAAAATTAAGAACCGGCAAAACGTCACGTCCGTACAATCCGTAAGCAAACAAGCATGAATCTAAACAATGGCAAGGGAAGCAACAAGAATCAGACTTTCTTTCTTATTTAAGAATAGAAATCTCTACACAGAAGAGAGGAAAATCTATCAGAGCGTTCAATATCTGAAGAGTTCTTTCAAGCTTTCTTCTGTTTCTTCTTCTGGGGCCGAGGGGGCGGGAAGAACACACGGAAGGCCAATGCAGCAAGAATGGCCCCGACGAAGGAGCTTATCCAATACACATAGAAATGATCCCATGAGTTGTGAGAGCTGTATATGTACGCCCACCCGAACGCCTTCACCAAGACGAAACAGAAAGAAAAATCATCATGAAATTGCTCTTAAAGATCGAGGGTTTTCCTTGAGTAGCAGATTCAAGACTATCTGTATGGAAAGAGAAGCAAACAGCTATATATATACATATTCATATGACCAGCAAAGTCTACAATGATTGTGGAGCTGCAAAACCGACTTCAGATTGAAGACCAGAAGCTCGATTTTTACAAGACATGATTGGGAAAAGCAGACAGATACTTGTGTCAAAGAAGGACAAGAGAACTATGACTAGACAAATGACATGAATAGAGATGACCACAAGGGTAGCATTGACGCATAAACTCTTACACAGACATGAGTAACAACCCATTTTCAACATGAATTTGTACTGTTGTAATATCGAGCTAATATGGATGAAGCAGACATTGTATCCAAACAAAGACGGGCAAGCAACAAACACGGAAAGACAAGACAGAAAGTGGAACTTGGACAAGGTATTTAAAGGCAGTAATAACACAAGGGGGTATAACTTACAATGGCGGGATTCATGGCAGGTCCAGTGTATTTAGAACCGGCAATAACCAGTGAGACGGTTACAATGGCGAGCAAGAACGTCTTAGCAAGTAAACGACGAGGACCCCTGAGGATAATCAGCAAAACAGAAAAGGTAATTAGAAAGCTCAGAATCCCCTCCGCAATAGCTCCAGTGTGCAAATCAACTCGCAAAGCAGGCCCTCCGATCATATGCTTGTATTTGTCCGGTACCACCTCCAAGATCGCCATGGCACCTCCCACCGCACCAGCAGCCTGGGGGATCACAAAAGAATACCATCACACTTTTATTCCAAAGGATCTTCAAGAATGAGAAAACTTTGCTTTTCTCGAGCAAAAGGGTATAGCAACAAGATCCTGAAAGAGAAGAATCTTGGAATATGAATGGGTGAATGGAATCCCGGCATTTTCAGACATTGCTAGTCTATTTCCCTCTTATGAAAAAGGTGACACGCTCTTTCGCTCCAGAGGAAATGATCCTAACACCACTCACTCTAAAAGCTTTGATTCAATGTGCTAAATCATCATCACTCTACAAAATAAAAGGGGGGCTTTTTCAATCTGACTGTTTCTGTCTGCTGAAGTCATTTAGGAACAAATGGATCCAAGAAACTTCTGATAAAAGGCAACTAAGGGAAAGAAGAACAGAGAGAAAAAGCATGGGTTTCTTTTCTTGATTACTAAAACAAGAAAAAGGTTCCCAAGAAAAAATGAACAAATTCAATCGAAATGCGTACTTCCTTTCCGAGAAAAATCGAATTCAATCACACTAACCCAAAATCAAACAGAGAATCAATCCCAGAATAACGAGTTCCACATGGCAAATTAAGCAAGAAAAATCACACCCGAGTGGATAAATCTCATCAACACATACCTCACGAAGACAAGATCTGATTCAAACCCAAAGACGGAAGTAGACAGATGATAATTTTATCCCCATATGAACAAATACCACAAAAGATCATTTCATATGTAGTGAAAACCCAAAATCGGAGCAAGAAAATACGCGCAAGATTAAATTTTCAGACCCCAACCCATCAAACAACGGAATGATCCGATCTCAGGTAGGGAAAAAGATGGGATAACTCACGTACCTGAGCAGGGAACCTAAGCGCCATGGAGAAGAGGGAATCTCCGGGGACTCCAGCGGTGTAGAAGGCGGCGTTTCCGGTGGGGTTGAAGCTAGCGCCGCCGAGAAGTTCTCCGATGAGGGTGAAGATGGAGACGGAGACAAAAACGAGCAAGGTCGTGATCACAGGCGGAGCCCAGGCGACGCCGTGAATGCCGGCGGCGGAGATAATCGCCGCCGTCTGAAGGCCGAAGGTCGCCGAGAGGAAAACCCACAGGAAGGTAATCACCATGTCGCCAATCGCCGACTTCAAAGCACCCATTTTCGCCGGCGTATGTGCGCGTGTGTAGTGGTGTATGTATAGATCTCTCCGGTGCGGATTCCGCTTTGTTTACGGGATCTGGTGATTTGGTTTTGATGGCTTTAAGGAGATGGTTACGTCTCCCTCCCTCTCTCTCTCTATTTATTTTGATTTTTTTTAATCTAAATTATTAAATCAATAAAAAGGAGGATAAATTGGGTGATTTACCTAACAGATAAGAGGTTAGATAAATTTGTGTTGGGATAAAGTTTACCTGATCTCTTGTATATAGATGTGTTATGGGTAATTAATTTTAACCAAAAAAGGTTAATTACCTTATTTAAAGATCTTACCTTCAAATAATTATAGAAATCTATATTAATTAAATAGTTAGAGTCAGTCACATATATACATATATATATAGTTGTCTTTCTGTCAATTACATTTATTATGATCATGTATATTATTTAGATTTCATTTATTTATTTATTTTAATACGAAATATTAATAAACGTTGATTGCTTAGATAATAGTTTAGAAAAGATTTACCAACTACATACATACATACATACATACATATATATGTATGGGTGCTGTATAATAGATTTGGGCTTGGCCTCTCGTCTACCTTAAACCCCAAGAAACCAATGGTCTTCTTCTTCTTTCTGTTTTATCCTTGCTTTTTTGTGTGTGTGTGTGTGGATGATTTAGAAGAACAAGATCACAAAGACAAGTTTTTTTTTGTGGCGAACACTCACTGGGAGGCCACATGTTGGTGAATCTCTGGAGTTTTACAAGTATTTCTTACATTTTCTCAGACAAAATAAAGCTATCATCATCTTTGTTTGTCAGAGAAAGAAAGCTTTTCTCGTCAGAATCCATATGGCTTCCCCGCTTCTTCTTCGGCTCCAAGAAAAACCATCCACGTCCTCAACCTCAACCTCTGGGTAGAAGAAGAAGAAGTATTTCCGAGAAAAGCCGAGGGAGAGTTTGGATTCGAACTCCCGAAAGGGTGGACTCACGTCCAAGTGGGGGGTGATAAACCGGTAGGGTGGAAGCACAAAATGCTCTACCATTATATAAAAAAAAAGAAAAGGAGAGAATTTCTCAAACCAATTTTCAATTCTCTGACGTTTCAGTGAGTTGTAGTAACTGGTAAAGATCCAAGATTCTGACGAACTGTTCTTCTTCCCAGACAGTGGGAAGTGGAAACTCAAGACGTGTTACTGTTCCCCCCTCAGACGCAGGAGATTTACTTCTGTAAAACCGAAACTCGAATTAGAAGAATTCAGAAACACAAATGTAGGTTGTGTTTTGTTACAACAGGAATGAAAACAACAAGACTACAAACGCATAAAGACAATACAAACTGCTACAGACAATAACCGAAACATATAACTGAACTTGTTCCTATCAGAACACTTCAGAAACTGGAACAGGATTGCTGCAAGCCAAGCTGCTCCAACAGTCAGTTACGACTGAAAACCTTTCAACATCTGAAGAGCGTTCTGAATAACAAATCCTTCCTCTGTGAAGCATCTAAAGTGAGGGATTATACACTAGCTAGCGAGGATACAACTGGGTAATGGAGTCGTGATTTCCATGGCTGGTGGAGGAGGAGGTAGAGTCGCCAAATCTCGTGAAGCGGCCGACGGATACCGCTGGCCGAGTAGGGAGAGGGAGAGAGATCGTGTCGCTGCTTAGCATCAGAACGACCGCAGCCATGCTCGGCCTACTCCCTACATTCTCTTGAACACACAACAGTCCGATGGTTATGCATCTCTCCATCTCGTTTCTCCACCCATTCGTCATGCTCGGGTCTACCAGCTTCAATGGCGTCTCTTCCTCCCAGTTTTCCCATGCCTCAACCACAAAACAAAAAAGAAAGAAGCATTTTCATCAGTTGTCACAGCAACAAACTCGCACTGTATCTATGTATGTATCTACTTTCTTCTATATATAGTTCTATATACATGTGTATGTAATGTGCTTACAACGGAAACGAGATCTTTAACTTCTTCCCCAACTCTGAAACTGTTGTTCCTCTGGCCACTTATGATCTCAAGAACCAACACTCCGAAACTGTAAACATCTGTCTTAAACGAGAACTGTCCATGCATTGCGTACTCAGGAGCCATGTATCCACTGCGTGTGCAAATCAAGATTCTCTCATTTCACAGTCTTGTCATATATATATATATATATATACACGTGTATATGTGCGTATACATTTGAATGTGGCCTTTTTGTACTTACTAGGTTCCGACGATCCGGCCGGTGAAGCGTTGAGTTGATTGGTCGATATCGAGCAGTCTAGCCATGCCGAAATCAGCAATCTTTGGGGTCATTTCCTCGTCCAATAAGACGTTACTAGCTTTAAGATCACGGTGGATTATCCGGAGACGAGAATCTTCGTGAAGATAAACGAGCCCTCGAGCAATCCCTCCTATGATTCTGCAGCGCTTTCCCCAATCCAGACATGTACGCTTGACTGGATCTGTACACACATATACACACACATACATACATACAACATACATGGAAGCAATCAAACCAAGGATCTGCCACTTTCTTGCAGAGGGATTCAGTACCGAAAATGAAGTTGTCGAGGCTGGCATTTTCGACAAACTCGTATACGAGAAGTCTTTCGGTTCCTTGCGTCGAGAAACCTAAAAGCCTGACGAGATTACGATGCTGAAGCTTCGCAACCAACAAGACCTCGTTCTTGAACTCGGTTTCACCTTGTCCTGCATTTCTCGACAACCTTTTCACTGCTACTCTTTGTCCATCAGGAAGCACGCCCTAAATAGTTTTAAAAATATCATTTCAGAAATGACAAAAACCAATCAGAGCAGCTTTGGATCACAAGATAATATAACCTTATAAACAGGGCCGAACCCGCCTTGTCCAAGTTTGTTTCTGATGGCGAAATTATCTGTTGCATCTCGTATCGTATCGAAATCGAACAACAATGAATCCGTGGTGACGATGATTTCTTCCTCGGATTCTTCGCCTTCTGTTCGCCGCCAGAAACAGAAACATCGGATCTTGACAATTAAGCAACAGCTTGAACACAAAAACATTCCTTTAGCAGCTTGATTTAACAAACTTACCTTCCTGTCTTTGTCTCGCCTTCTTTCTCAGAATCAAGACAACAGTTAAGGATGCGATAAGGAGGACGGCAACAACAACAGGAACGACTATTAAGATCAAATCTTTTCTTCCATTCCCATCTTTCTTCCCTGAAGAAGAAGAAGAAGGATGAAATCTTCACACAAAACAAGTTAATGTCTTACTGTCTATAGAGCGCAGTGCAGAATAGTGTAGTTTACCTCCTTCACTGGTTATTGTTCCATTTGCAGGAGGAGGAGGAGGAGAGGAAATCAGAGGTGGCTTGTCGTAGAATTCATAGGTCTCGTACCTGAAAAAACAGGTCGGAGTATACACCCGTCCACCAACCTTCCGGTCAAACCTAGCCGGAATTTCCCCGAAGCTCCAACTGAGACAATCGAAACAGTCCTCCTCCGACAAGTATGGCATGCACTGTACCATGCCGTACAATGTCTTAAACGATGGCGCCTTCACACTGTCCGCCGCAAACTTCTTTCTCGCGCCGCCGGCCGCAGCTTTGTCCCTTAGACCTTCGAGCAAACCCCTTAACGCCGTCTCGATACCCTTCAAATCTCCGGTGAAGTTTCTATTGTTCCACTTGAAATATGCAAGCTCCGTCTCCTTAGCGTTGGAGATTGTCCGGTTCGTATAACGCGTCATACAGTTGTCGTAAAATATAATCGCCTCCGTCCGGTTAGGGCAAAGCCTCCTGATCTCTTCACCGGCGGCAGAGACGCAGGCGAGGCAATCAACGGGCTTGACATCTCCTCTGCAGAGATAGACAGAGTTGACTTTGTCTGGGATTTCTCCGGCGGAGACGTTGTAGAAGCCGTCGTCGTTCTGCGGGAGAGAGGACAGAGAAGAGATGAGATTGTTAAGGTTGCCGGAGAAAGTGGAGTTGACAGTGTAGTTTCCTCCGGCGTAGCAGAAATGGTACAGAGGACTAGGAGCAGAATTCTGCGATGTCACGGCGAGGAAGTGGTGGAACCAGAGAACCAAAGTGGAGAAGATACATAGACATGGTGATGGTGAAGAAGACAGATGAGGAAGAGAAGCCATTATTGTTTTTTTTTTTTTGCATGCATGATCTGGTTTCCATTTCGTCGAAGTTAAATCACGACCGACCGAAGGTCCATAAGGTTGACTATTGACTCTTCGTCGGTCCAAGTCTCTAACATGCAAAATACCAGCAAACAAAAAGGCAACGGTAACATTACTCCAACCCCAAGTGGTTTCTAAATAAAATTTTAAGGACCAAGTTGCATCTCTTACAGATCAAAGTTTGGTGGAAACTTCCGTGTGGGGATTCCCTTCCCCAAGAACACGACAATTGTACCTGTGACAAAGAAACAACTTGTTTTATATAAAATCAGACCGAATTTGGATCTGAATTCCCTTTATGTAATCTTCCGGAGAATATCGTGCGCGTTTTCCCGGAAAATTCATATAGTTTCACTACTCTTTTGTGTGTGTATATTCAAAAGCCATTTGCATTCTCTTTTCAAGAAACCAGCAGAAATTCCATTGCAGGAAAAAGGGCAAAAGATACAAAGTTGAAAAAGTATGCATGCATGTATGCAAGTCATATCAATCATCATCATTCCTAGGCCTAAAAGGTATTATTCAAACCAGACAACAATCCAAAAGATTCATTCTTTCATGAAATCCAAACGCGCTTCTTCTTCTTCTTCTTTCAGTTGGAGCTGGCGAGCTGAGAACGGATAAGCTTGGCAGCATCGACCATGTTCTTGAGCGCGGGCTTCACCTCCGTGTACTTGCGGGTCTTGAGACCACAGTCAGGGTTCACCCACAAGATGTTCTGTTCCAGGACAGCCAGCATCTTGTTGATCCTGTCTGCTATCTCCTCTGTCGACGGTATTCTCGGAGAGTGGATGTCGTACACACCCGGCCCGATACCAGCACCGTACTTCACTCCCTCCCGGAACACCGACAGGAGCTTCTCGTCTGAACGAGAGTTCTCGATTGTGATGACATCAGCATCCATGTCGATGATGGAGTGGATGATGTCGTTGAAGTTTGAGTAGCACATGTGTGTGTGGATCTGCCAGCAAAAAAACCAAACCCATCAAGAAATGACCCGAGAAAGCTCGAGAAAGTGGCGGTTTTCTGAAGGGATGAAACGGATCAAAAACCTGGGTGCTGTCTTGGACGCCGACGTTGGTGATCCTGAACGAGTGGACAGCCCAGTCCAAGTAGAAAGCATGCTCTGATTTCCTAAGGGGCAGTCCTTCTCTCAAAGCAGCCTCGTCGATCTGAATCACACCAATGCCGCCCTTCTCAAGATCCTCGACTTCGTCCTTGATGGCCAACGCAATCTGGTAGCAGGTCTCGTGCCTGAAGAATTTCCAGATGGCAAAAAGAAGATTTTAATTGTTTGGAGACATTTCGATCTTTCTTGTCCAACGGTTAAGATAAATTATATAAGTACCTGGGTTGGTCGTTTCTGACAAAGGACCAGTTGAGAATGGTCACAGGGCCTGTAAGCATTCCTTTCATGGGGCGAGAGGTCATGCTCTGAGCCGTCGTAGACCAGAAAACAGTCATTGGCTTGGGCCGGCTCACGTCACCGTAGATGATCGGTGGCTTCACACAACGTGATCCGTAAGACTGGACCCACCCGTTGGCCGTGAAGGCAAAACCAGACAATTGCTCTCCAAAGTACTCAACCATGTCGTTTCTCTACCAAAAAAAAGAGAAGGAAAAATCCCAATCAGAAACATTCTGAGTAATCAGTTTCGGCCATTGCACAGTCTAGTGGGGAAAAATCTGACCTCAGGCTCTCCGTGAACCAGGACATCGATGTCAAGCTCCTCTTGGAGGTCAACAACCTTCTTGATTTCTTCCTTGATGGCCTTAACATATTCCTCCTCAGAGATTCTAGCAACAATAGATACATTGTTAACATCATAATCAGCAAAAACAAAAGGGTTCCTCCATTGTTGTCAGTGGCCCGAAATTGAGTATAAAGATACTAACTTCTTAGCCTTGTATTCACGACGAACTCTCCTGAGCTCCAGGGTCTGTGGGAAGGACCCAATGGTAGTTGTGGGGAGGATCGGGAGGTTGAGCTTCTTCTGTTGAGCATCTAGCCGAGCGCTAACGTTAGTTGCACGGCGGTGGTCAGAGCCCTTCAAAGCAGCAGCCTGAGAAAGCAAGAATCAGTGCCCGTCGTAATCGGTACAAGAATTTTAACAGAAAGATCAGTGAATGTGAAAGAACATTGATTCTATTCAAAACTTACAGCCTTTTGAACAGCCTCGTTGGTCACTCTTGGGGAAGACCTCCTCGAAGCCAAAGCAGAGGCATTAACAGAGAAAAAGGCCTGAAATAAGAAAGCGGTGTTTGAACATTAGTTCCCAAACCATTTAAGTCAAAGAAAACTCAAAAGGGTCTATAAGAGAAACAGAGGGTATGCACAATTTTGCAGAGAAAGATACCTCATCCTTCTGACCAGCCAAAGCCTTGGCCAATGCGTTAACTTCAACAACCTTCTGAGCAGCAAAGGCTAACCATGACTTGATTTCAGCATCAAGCTTAGGCTCGTTGACAAGGTCAACAGCAGTGTGGAGGAGAGAGCAGGAGGTGGAGACAACAAGTCTGTCTGCACCAATGCACGCATAACAAAATCAACAAATCAAGATACATTTTCTAGAAAACTCTCTGTAATCCACAAGAGCCAATATAATGCTAATAAGGATGTAATACGTACCTTTACCGACAATGCCCTCGAGCTCTGAAAGGGTGCTGAGAGAGGCAACAAGGTCATTGGCCCAGATGTTCCTACCGTCCACAACACCAGCAAACAAGTACTTGCCCTCGGGGAAACCAGCCTTGATCAAGTCAAGGGTCTTGGTTCCACGGACAAGATCAAACCCAAAGGCTGTCACACCTTTCAAGGAGGTAAGGGTCTTGAATGCCTCAGCAGGGATATCGGCAAAGTAGGTCTCCACAAGAACATTTAAACCAGAAAAAGATGATTCGAGTTCGGCATATGCATCAGTGAAAGCCTGGAGTTTGTCACTCTCAAGATCCATGACAAGAAGAGGCTCATCAAACTGAATCCAGGTGGCACCTGCTCCCTTCAGCTCGCCGATGACTTCCCTGCATGCCCATTTCGTCGTAGCAGAAGCATGTCAGACATATTATTCATAGCGTCAGAGAAATCGGATCATACATACACTCTTATCTTACTTGTAGATGGGAAGGATTTTTCCAAGAAGAGAGAGAAGGTTGAATGTCTTCTCAACACCCTTAGCACGCTTGGAAAGCAGCAAGTACGAGACAGGGCCAATGAGAACAGGGACGGTCTCAACACCAAGCTGCATAAATAGCATCACTTCAATATATCAGCACACTTAAATATAGCAGACGAAATTGTATGTATACTAACTACAAAAATGACCAATATGCTCTTTCTTTATCATTCTCAACTCAATGCCATTTAAGATTCCTCAAACCAAAGCAGCGTAAATAATTAATGATACTTACAGCCTTGGCCTCCTTGTACTCATCCACAGCCTTGTGGGACGAGTAAGAGAACGTGACCTCAGGGCCCAACTCCGGCACAATGTAGTGGCTGCATCGAGAAGACATAAACAATGTTATCCTCACTCAACTCACGAACTCAACAACAATGTCACCGAAAACAAAGATTCAGCTGTTACTTACTAGTTGGTGTCAAACCACTTGGTCATTTCCATGGCGGGGACAGAGGCATTTCCTCTGGCCATGGAGAAGTAAACATCGAACCCGATCTCTCCACCGTTCCATCCATATCTCGGTGGGACAGCACCGAGCATGGCGGTGGTGTCGAGCACCTGATCATAGTAAGCAAAGGTGTTGCTTGGGATGAACTTAATCCCAGCATCAGACATCTGTTTCCAGATGGATGACCTGAGATCAGCCGCCACCTTCTTCAGATCCTCGGCACTGCTCTTTCCATCCCAGAATGATTCCAATGCGAATTTGAGCTCTCTCTTGGGGCCCATACGAGGGTATCCGACAATATGGGAGGCCATCTTGTCTTCTAAATCAAACCGTGAAACACCCCAAACTCAGCTTCTAAGTTGTAATAAAATCACCACAAGTGAAGATGCGATATCTTAATAATATAAGGAAGTGGTAAAGCTTTCCAATTATTATCGTATTTATCGATATGAACAAGATGAACCCATTCCAGAGCAGAATCTGAAAGCTCTAAGATCAAATCGAATAAATTGTAACCACGTCAAGATCGAACACGTGTATCCATGTACGAAAAGATGAGATAAAGCGGATCTAGAGCGCAGAAACCCAGAAAACCAATCATTGTCGAAGACGACAACAAAAAAGGCGGAATCAGATCTTAAGTAACAAAACAGAGAAGCAACACCAGATCTATGGATCCAACAAGACAAACACCCAGATCTACGTGTTTCACTAACTCACTCACCAATGGATATCAACGCAAAGACAAGCGAATCAAACGGATCGATGAAGAATCAAACGATTTTTCCAAAGGAAAACACTTGGGTGGTCCAAAAACAGAGCACGGACAAAGTATTGACGAATACAAGAAAACGAAATGGAAGCAAAGAAGCTAGCTATATAGGAGAGAGAGAGAGAGAGTGGGGACGAGGGGAAGCCATGAAACTCGGAGGCATACCTTGCGGAGAGCGAAACGGGAAGGATAGAGGAGGAGGAAGTCACGGATGGGAGAGAGATAGAGAGAGACGAAGACGAAGAGCGGCTGTGTTTGCTTATTTATAGGAAAAATTAATGATAGATCGGCATTCAACTGAATTAGAAAAAAAAATGTATTAACATTAATTTCTGTGCATATATATATATATATATATAATAGAAACACTCGTAAATAAATTGTTTTTTTTTTCCTTGTGAAAAATGAATAGACTGTGTTAAATAAAGAAAATATGCCGTCTCTGACTTGAACCACAATACATATATATATATATATATATGACGGATAATCTATTTTTTCTATAAAGGTAATAATACTTTCTTAAAACATCAACTGGACAAAGTGAATGTTTCAATGAAAATTTTACACGAGGGTTATATTTGAAAAATCGAATTTAAGAAACTATTGCATCTAAAAACTTCTGAAAATGTTTAAATAAGTGTAACACTATTGAATTATACTCTCCCTGGCTTAAATACTAATATAACTATACCTTTTTAATCATTGGAAATAATAAATATGAATACTAAGTGTAACGAAGGAATTGAAATATGAGGAGAGACTTGGTGGTGCACGAGGTTAGGCTTTTGGGGGTTCGGTGAGATTCACCATCTATTAAGGAAAAAACAAACCAAAACTCCGAAACGGCGTCGTATGAGAGCAGCGAGTAGAGTGAGTAGGTGAAGGTGAAGGTGAAGGTAGGCCCCACTTAGCGGTGGCTTTGAATCGGCATCAACCAATAATATTCTATTTTAATAGTTTTTTTTTTTAACTAAACCCAATAAATATCCAATCGAATATGATACATTAAATCAAAACCAAATATCTCTCTTGACTGTGTGTGTTAATATCATATTTCGATTTTTATTTCATGCTCATATAATAAAAACGTTTTGAATCAATTATTTTTTTAGATTAATTTACAATCCAACTACATCCACCGAAGATTATATCTAAGATAATCTTGTTATAATTAAATTGCATACTTAATCTTTAATCCGTTCTTGATGGATCAAGATCCAAACTAATCCCGGGATGGGGAAGAAGTTTGACGGTATTACCTTGACAACATAACCTTTGATTATCCTAATAATAATAATAATAATTCCAAAAGATGAGAAAGAACAAGAAGAAGAATCGATGCGAATGAGAAGAGAAGAAACCTAAGTGATCTCGCAAGGCAAGGTTCCAAGACAGGAGGAACTGCGACAGAAGCACTTCATTCCGTCGGTTCTGACACGAACCTCTCCGTAACTGAAAGTCAACTCCTCTTCCGCTTCTATGTCTCTCCGTG